ATATTGGACTTCGTTTAGCCCATTATAGAGCACAAACTGAGAAGGAAAAGAAAAACGAAATTCAGAAATCTCATCACACAAATGCTAAGTTTAATTCTCATTATTAGTACGAGAGAAAACCTCGTTGACATTTGCAGAATTCCAAGCCTCCGTGTAACACTAGCTCTGCACAGCAGGTAAATTTAACTAGGTTGGTAAGGAGCCAGAAAAAGTCAGCTCTGACTGGGAACTCTCACTGTACCACCAGGCTTTGCTACTGCAGACTTCCATACATAGCTCACTGCATTCATATCGCCAACATGCATTAATTTCTATGCCTCAACTAACAAAGAAACAACAGATTTTGGACAGGAGTTTAAAGGATGGCTCTTCAGATACTTAAGGGGCTACAGTTATACTACACTACAATGTTTCTACCACTGACAAAATTCCTCCACCATTGAAGTGCTGTTTAAGTGATAGTCCTGCATGTGAATTAAATGAAGATACCAGCGCTAGATGGATTATTTTTAGATTTTTTCCTAGCTTAAGCTTCAACTGGATAGAAGAACAGGCTTAATTTTTACAGCCAAAATTCAAAAAGAAAAAAAAAAGATAGCCTATGTGGTTAGTAATCACCTTACCAACCCTATTTTCTGTTAATGTTATTCCATTAAAGCAATGTAAGGCTGTAGGTAAAACCCCCATGGACAGTGGTAGAGAGAAGAACTCTTAGCAGATGGCAGTGGCGGGTTGCTCTGACCCCTGCCGTGGGTGTTGAGTGATTCTGGAAATGTGCTCCAAGGAGTTTTCATTTAACTGCTAAGCCTTCAAGCCCACCACCAGTAAACAAGAGGTCGGGCTCCCACTGCCATAAAAGCTCTTGTCCCTGTGTTGCATTAGATGATGCTGAAATAAATTTAGAAACCTAATTACAACTATGTAGCCAAATACATACCAAAGACCCAAGTGACAATGCATATCAAACTGTTTGAAACTAAAACTGATCCTACAGTTGGTTTTATTTTTTTTAAATTGAATTAGGGACTGAATTCTGAATCCCTGACATAAGCTCACCAAAATTCAGAACTCTCCCTCTCTCCCTCGACACAGTTAAGGAGAATCCCTCGTTACCAGCTGCAGCATACCAACTGTCAAAGTGCTCAGAAATCATGCACAATCCTATGAAATTCTTGAAAAGCAACAGTTTGGGCAGATGGTAGCTCCAATGACAGGTCTGATGTGCTATTTTCTGAGGGAAGTTATCATGCCTCTAGGTATGCTGCTACATATATTTGTGTCATGATATAACAGATGACATTAGGTTGTAATAAAATTACAAAGAAAAATCACTGATATGTTTACCGAAGTAATTTGTCTTTATTTGTACTTAAAGACGCAAAACACTCTATTATTTTACTACCAGTTTTCTTGTTGGTTAAAAATTCTGGCAAATGTGCTTTCACTGAACGTCAGAAAGCCATGAACAAACCTGAGCAGATTTTTCCCATTTCTTCAACACTGGAGATAGTCATAGACAAGGACAATTTGACAGAAGTGTAGTATTTCAAATTAGGTAATTAATTCTATGAAAATAGAGCTCCCGTTCTCCCCTCTGGCTTCTCCTTCCTGCTCCTGAATTGCATCATGTTGAGTACATTTTTATCAGGGCTTTCCTCCGCAATGGACCAGGAAGGTGCTCCAGGTCTTACTATTTTCTTTTTTAAACTCCAGAAAACCTCAGCAAGAACACTATAAAAGCCAACTGGGTCAGTTCCTTACTGTAGTTCACAACAAAAATACCTATGTCTTTGCTGTATGCTGGAGATCAGTCCCCAGCAGATACTCACAAGACCACCAGAAGCGTGGTAAAGGAGGCCCCCAGAATATTCTTACCACCATTAAAAATCAGCAGCTCAGGTCAAAAATTTTGTTTGTATGAATGTGAAAAAAACTAAGTACAGATGAAACACTAATTCTATTCAAGCCCTCAGAAATTAACATATGCCTATCCTGTCTAGCACTCACAAATGGGCAGAAAGGCATGCAAGGGAACACTTGACTATAAGCAACACCTGGAGGAATTTTACATATGATTTAACCTTTGTGACCTAGGTATTGTACAAATTCACTTTTGGATTATAGAATGCAAAAAGAAAAATCATTTATAAATTACAAAATTAAAAAATCATGAGAATTGTGTTTTTAAAACACATTTGACAAGCCTGAATGATACCTGTGAAGAGATTATAGCCTACTTGGTAATCATCCTCCTCACTAGACACAAACCCAAACAGAGCAGGCAACATCAGCATCATCCCTTTCTTAGTTCCACAGGGGGATAGAGGTAGAACTGAGAGATGGAGAAAGTCCTTCTTCTGTCAACTCAAGCTTCATGACCTAAGACACTTAATTTATCTCAATTTGGAGATTCGTTGCTCCACAAGTTCCTTACGACATTCTTGCACCAACAAATTCAAGCAAACTGGAACAACTTACAGACAATGAAAACATGGGCTTTTGAGGAGCAGTAACTGATTGAAATCTTGCTGACACTTTTATTTAGACAACTGACAATGCTTCAGATTGAGCTAGAACATGAGCAATTTGGAAAAATTTGGAAAAAAAGGCGCATAGAAATATACATTCTTTTCTCAAAATGCAAGCAATAAACTTCAATGATTTTATTCTCCCCTAAAGCAATCTTTCCAACTGCTGTTCCTCTCCTCCCCTCCTTCCCTATTGTCATAACAGTGGTAAAAGGGAAGAAATTCAGCAGACTATCTAAATCTCTGGGCAATGCTCCCCCAGTAGTGCTCCATAAACTGCAATTCTCAGCCGTCTCCACCTTTAAGGGGATGACTCTATGGAGAGTATGGAGAATACCTTGGGTCCTTACTTAGCTGCAGTATAGTTTGCAACTAGTATGTAAAAGAAGTCCCAAACTCGATGATCCTTGTGGGTCCCTTCCAACTCGGGACATTCTATGAACTTGTAAAACAGCCTTCAAGTACCAAAATCTTCAAGCACTAAATTCACACACACCAAAATATATACATATATATACACTCACAGATATATATGCATAGTGCCCTTATATAAGACATGTGTAACACTTTTTTTCCTTTCAACAGCAGAATAGAAATGTGTTTGTCTAGAAAATGTAAAGGTCTCGTCACATAAAATCAACAGCCCTGAGACAATAGGCCACATATATTCCTAATGCAAGGACTATAGCTGTAAGTTAGTGTAAAAATTGCAGCCCTGTTATCTAGGCACCTGAAGAGGTCTGACAGTTGGTTGACCGAGACCCCAGGGTGTCTCTGAGGTTAGTTTCATATGAGACAGCCTGCAGCATCAACCCCAGCCCAGGGAGCCCTGTGCCCATACACCAGGCACTCAGATGCAGAAGATACCAGCACAGCTTAGGCTGCTGCAGAGCGGCTCAAGCTACTGAAGACCATTTTGTGACACGATGCAGAATGAGGTAAGCTTGGATGGACAGATAATTAAAGCCATCACGTACACCAAAGCAGCCTCCCTTTGGCTGGGAAGCCCACTAAAACCCCATTGCTTTTCAGGACAGATCAATAAAGTGCCACGAGACCAAAGGAGGAATTTGAACACAAAGCAATGTAATTGCTTAAGCTGGAACCTGGCATGACACCGGGGTTAATCACCTCTAAGAAATGCAGTCCCAAGAGCCTTATCAATCAAAACAATCAGAAATGTTTAATGCATCCAAAATACGCAGTCCTCACAACTGTGCCCCTACATCATGAGCTCCTATTGATCAAGAAGTGGACCCATGGGAAAGGGCCATTTACCACATCAAATCCTCTCCAAGGTATCTGAAGTCTCAGGGGCATTCAGTTGTTCATGCTTATGCAGATGAAAGAGCTTTAAACAGCTTGTGTATCACCTTACAGGACAAACAGGCAGTGTCTCCTACTCTAAACACAAACTAGGAGGGGGCTCTTGCTGAGATGTTTCAGGTTCTAAAGCTGCTGGTAAGTTAAAGGTCAGACAGCAACTTCTGGGAGAGAAATCAGAGCCCCTAGAATCACAGGTGCTGTGAGGAGCTTCATATGAATTAAGGCATCATAAGGCAGCAAAAAAATACTTAACTGCTTGAGAAACCTGGCTGTCTCTGAACAACAAAATGCCTCCAGTTTTTATGGTGTGTGTCAGAAATATTAACTAAAAGATGCAGGTTAAGGAGCCTGAATTTAAGTTACTGAACTACTGTATAATATTTTCTTTTTAGGTACTTCTATGCTAGAGTACTATGACATGTAATGACAAGCATGTCCTGGTATATGTCTTAACACTCAAGATGAGACAGTTGCTACATTTTCATCCTCAAAAACTCAGAGTAACTGATCAATCAAAACATCTTTTTTAGACAGTATTTTAGTGAAAGTTCAAATGAGTACAAACCAAAGATACTTTGGTAGTACAAAGATATTATTCAAGTCCTTGGAAGAAATCTTTTTCTACTGAAGCTAGAGATTTTCCAGCAGCCATGCAATTAAATTACAAAATTGCTGCCTATTTGTGGGTATTGGCTTAGTAAACTGAAAAGAGTGCTGTATGTATACACGCGTTCAGAACATACCAATTTTACCCATGACTGCAGTACTCTCTCAAAGGCTCCCTAGGATTGTTCTCGACCAGTTTAGGTATTTCAACATACTGTGGATGCCAAAGCCCTGTTCTTAAAAATAATGTTTTTAACTGTATGATTTAAATATCCTAAAATATAAATGGCTTGCAAATTGCAAGTTGACAGGGTACAGTAAGTCTCTGAGCTATGAATAGTTGCGGTTTTGTTTTGCCATTTGTAAGTGCAAGTTTTTTTTTTTTAAAGAAGTTTCAGACATGACATCATTCATGCAGGTTCCTGTATTTTGGTGTTGGTGGTTACTTAGTTGTCACACATTTTGATAAATCTTTGCAGATTTAGGGATGCACCACTTCTATTTTGAAGCACCTTCCAAAACACTAAGTTCAGTACTCACATAATCAGGAAGCGGAGAGTCATTTGAATCAAGGGAACCTCGTAAGGACTGCGTGGCTTGCTCCAACACCTTGTTGTGCTTTTTAGACAACAAAGAAAATAAACTGGAGAGAAAAAAAAAATTAAAAAAAAGAATTAAAATAAATTCACAGTAATGGTCTGAGATAATTAGATGACCTAGTCAGAAGAGATGCATTACTCTATACACAGATCTGAACGTGCAGATTTTTAAAACGCCATGTGCAATCATTGTATGTGTGTATATATATACACACATAAGTAAAAACATCTGGAATAAGCAACAACAGAATTTGAATTTGAGATATTCTAAAAAATAAATGATGTGAAGAAGATCCTGTGTTCATGGTTAAGTACTTAAAAGTCAAACTTCAACAGAATGAATGGTATACGTACAATTTTAGTTCATAACTGGTATGTATTCATTAAAAAACAATTTCCAAGCATAGCATCTCATGCAATATATTTATTTTCCTTAATAATCTTGAGTATTTTTCATTTCAATAGCCTAATTGCTTAGCATAGGAAGAATCCAAGTACATGACAGAAGCCTTGGCTATTTGGAAGCTGAGATGTCATTAGTACATGTTCTTCTCAACTTGGTTTTAGTTCAAGTCAAGGAATAGAGCATTACATTAGCTTTATAAATAATCTGTAAAATCAGAGGTCCATATGCATACAAAGATTTTTTTCGTGCATTTTGAAAAAAAATTGCATTTTTTTTTCTAAATTCTATTCATTTGTTGAAACTAGCAATCCTAAATCATTTAAAATCTTTTGCAGCTGTGCATGTACTTTAACTATAAGACATAATAAGATAGAACTGAATATTCAAGACCAAGTATGTGCTGTAGTGCTTCACAAATACAAAACAGGGCAGAGCTCTCCTGCTGCAATCCTATGATTTAAATTGAGTTTGGGAAAGATGGCAGGTGCATTTATAAAACAATAAGGCTACACAAAAATAAAAGCTATAGAATTCACACTACTGGACTGGATGGATTGATGGATTTTGATGGATTGGTTTGTTGGATGACAAAAAACAGCACATGTGGAATTAAGGAAACACCTCTGTGCACATGGATGCTTACAGCAGACGGCATCATTTCACATATATGGAGAATATAACCTCAATTGCAAAGGTGCAAGAGACTTGAAAGAAGCAGAAGCAGTGGACAAAGGGTGATGGCTAGTGCTTAGCAGCTTCAAGGAGTCAGATACTTCTGTAAAACTGCTGGATTCCTACAACACTGTCGTCAATTTAGAGATAACTCAGAGACAGAAACCTGAATAGATGAAAATACCTTGTAAGTTAGGAAAGGAGCTGACTACAAGTGGGTTCAACAACATCAACTATCAACAGAGGGTACAATAAAAGCAGCAAAACACGTAGCAGACAAAAACCCCACAAAACTACAGTCAATTTGTTATCTGTTTTTCTCCAAAATGTTTTCAGAGCAGTAGCAGACTCCTTGTTCACCAGATTCAGTTAGACAATATTAAAGTCAATTTAATAAACAAAAAAGCGGCAAAACACTAGTTCAGTGTTATATTCTAAATAGCGTGTATTTCTTGGAACTAGAGGACAACTTCAGTGCTGAGTGATGTGCTTAGAAAGCTTTTCTGCATCAAGAAATGATAGTCAGAATTCGAAGAAGTACTCTTTATTTTCAACCGAAAAAATAACATTGATATCAAATCCTCTGCAGCCTTAAGAGCAAATTCTCAGACTATCAGTGCTTGTCCCCTCATTGCAAGCCAAGAGTTTCAGGAAAATGTTTTTTCAACACTTCTCACAGTTGCAAGGAATTAGTTATGCTTCTCAAGCCCAAAGCTTACATCTTGAGAACAAACTCAGTAAATCCCACTATTTTCCTACACCTCTTCAGTCAGATATTTCTTAGAACAGATTAACAGTTCACGTTTGAGGACAACCTTCGCTGCATTTCAGACAACTAATTAACCCCCATGAGAGCCCTTGGCTATGTTGTACCATCCTCAAAGTTCAGCCAGAGTCTGACAGCGGGAGAAACAGCCTCGAGACCACACAGCCAAGAGTGAGGCCAGCAATGCTGGTGTGCCTGTCTCTCTTGCTGGGATGGAGATAATCTCAGCTGGACTGATGTGGCAAGAATGCCAGATGAGATTAGAAAGCAACCCTTCTCTGTACTGGTAGTAAGAGTTGAGAAACATTTAGAGTTTTTATGATAAGATAACACAATGGTTTTGATGTCATGAAAAGTGGAATTCTGTTTTTTCCTTCATGCTGTCCAACAAAGCCTTGGCAAGCTATCTAATTCCTGGGACAAACCTTCCACTAATTCGCAGTCATTAGTCAAAAGCACCAATCACCTGTTAAACAGGGAACAAGCAACACAGAAATAAGATATATTAATAGGATTTCCAGGATTTTCCTTTCAGCTACTGTATTCACAGACTGAAATTTTTGTTCAAATTAAAATTTGGATTTGCAGGCTGGTCCTTTGCCTGAAACAGCAGTGCTACTTTTAGAATCACTGGTATTTTTGAAGGCTCAGATTTCAGAGATACTGCCATCAGCACCATCTAGTGCTGTGGAGACAGAATAATCGCTTAAAACCAACCTGGTGATGCTTACAGGGGGTGCAGCAAGAACAGGTTAAATCTTGTGTCTGCTTCAGAAGACACTGTCAATTCCACAAAGAGGAAGACAGAATTTGGATGAAATAGGACTTCCAACAGGTAGCTTTTTTTTTTTCCCAATAAATAAATAAATAAATAAATAAATCTTTTTGGCTCTAAATGAAATGTGAATAAAACAAAGAATTGGGATCAGATTTTGAAAAGTGTGTTTATTCAACACATCTGAGTAGGAGAATGCACATACATTAGTATTCTGCATGGAACTGGAACACCAAAAAGCAAATTTATTTTCTTTGGCAGAATGAAGAGAAATGGGGTAAGAGGGAGAAAAAAAAAGGGTAGAAGAATATTTCTTGATACCCTACTTTTGCTTCTTCTTCTTTTTTTTTTTTTTTTTTTTTTTTACTAAGTGTAACATAATTAAAGCAGACTGCTTGTTTACTGCATAAGCAGGCACTCGGTAGCTGATTTCTATTTCTGAATCAGCACTGGGGGGGTAAGCTCTATTATACGTTGTCTTTGGCAATGGGGCTTCCCCTTGCAAAGTTTTGCTTTCCTGCCACAGCTCATCACCTTTGCACCTGTGCTGAAACACTTCTTTGTGGGACTGTTGCCCAGAACACCAATATTCAGGTTAAAAAAAAATCAGTTTTCTTCACAGATTGGTTGTCCTTTCCAGAGCACAGTCCCTTAGAGGAGTCAAACTGACACAGCAGTATGAGGGCAGGGACACGTAGGCAGGAACTTTCCATACTGAGAATGAAAACATAGCACAGAACTACGCCCAGAGAGCACGAGAGGAAGAGTGAACTGCAAACTTTCAAAGAGCTCCAAAGAAACAGTACAGCTAGACAGAAAAAAGGCCAAATACTGCAATTATTCACTGAACACAGAGCTCCAAAGGAAGCAGCGCTGCCAAGATGGGTGTAAACTTTGCCACCAAGTACTTCACTTACAATTCCTCTATCTGTGACTCTGAAAAGAACCTTGACAAATATGAACTTCATTTCTGAAGTATCAGAATAGATTTAGTTGCAATCCCCAAATCATTTCATGAAATTTAGCTCATTGAGGTTTTTTTATCATAAGACAAACGTTGCCTTCTAAAGGAGGTGCTTGGTTTTGAGGTAGTCACATCTTCAGCGTCTGTAAGGTTTTAGGGTCTATTTTCAGTTTTTAAGGCATGAATAATGGTATTAAAAATAGAAATGATGTTTTACATAATGTCAAAGTTGTTCCCACCCCACTGTAGGGTACGTGAGACTAGTGACAATTCATGCACAGGTGGAAATTAAGACTGTCTCCCAAATTCCCCTCACGTGTCTTAGTCATACTTCTATTTTTGCACCACTAAAACTGGGTATGCATATTTTTCAATTTGATCTTTCAAGCCACGTGGTCGTGGAGGGTGGCCTCCACAGATTGACAAGGACATGGGATTTTATACCAGAATACTTATGTTTGTCTTTTCATCACCTTCAGAGCAGCTATGGACCTGGACAGCTCTTTGATTTCACTCATTCTAGACAATTTATACCAATGACATATTATGTTCAGAACAATGAAAATGAGTTAGTGCTCCAACCCAACTCTCACAGAAGTGCTTATGGACCAATGTTTAGCAAACAAAATAAAAGGTTGGAATAATAGCTAGATGAAATAGCAGCTGGCATCTATTCCAGATCTTCAAATCATACCATGGATGAGCTGAACCAGCGAGGATGACCCAGGTCTGAATGGCAGTCTCAAGGTCTTGTACTTCTGATTTTTAGGAATTATGAAAGTACTGGTTCCTTAACTACTTCTATAAAGATGAAACATTCCTTTTTAATTTAACACAAGGCTGAACCTCAACCAATAAAGAAATGATTACAGACTAAATGGCAGCGGTTGCTTAAACACAAGTCATTTCATTATGTGCTATTTGCACACACAGTAAAATTCAAACCAGTAATATATGAACTTAACACTTTCAAAAAAGCCAATTCCAAACAGCGCATGGATCCAAAAAAATGCCAATAATGGGAACTCATTTAACAACTTTCCTCTTGGTCCACCAAAAGTCACAAGCCAACAATCAAGAAAAAATCCTAAGCATCTGCAATTTCTGCAGGAAGTATAATTTACAGTGGATTGAAACGGCTCACAAAGTATACTTGTCATGTACAAAAAATTAATGCATAAAAAACATTTTTAAACAGTTAAAAAAAAGATAAGGGAATTAAAATTAGAAGATGAAAGTAAATCCAAAGACAGTAATTGCCAAAAAAAATAGCATGAGAAAAAAAAAAAGACTGTGACTAGATTTAAAAATGATTTTTTTTTGTCCCTTATACACATTAAATAGTCAATTATTGCTGCATTAGCAGATGTAAACAATGGACCTCAAAAGAATAATGAAAAAAAAAAAAGGGGGGGGGGGAAATGCGTCCCATAACTATTTACATTATATAAAGGAAAATGG